TGGCTCTGTCAATCTGTTTCTTCACTTCAGCAGGTGAATATTGTAGTTGTAAGAACGCTTGACAGAGATCTTGTAGGTGTTTGTCTCTGTCTGAGGGGTTGGAGCAAATGCAGTTGTATCGTAGAGCTTGGTTGTAGACAATGGATCATGTGGCACAAGTTCCCTAATTGTGCAGTGCCATGGATACTTATAGTACTATAAAAATAGTAATAAGATAAAGATTATAGAGCAGATCCTCACCTGCTGGAAATCAGCATAGCTCCATGGAAGTCACAGGAATCACCTTTCATATGAATTCTATGAGTGAAGCAAGTTATATTACAAACATTGACAGGTTTCAGAGTAACAGCCGTGTTAGTCTGTATTCGCAAAAAGAAAAGGAGTACTTGTGGCACCTTAGAGACTAACCAATTTATTTGAGCATGAGCTTTCGTGAGCTACAGCTCACTTCATCAGATGCATACCGTGGAAACTGTAGCAGACTTTATATATACACAGAGAATATGAAACAATACCTCTTCCCACCCCACTGTCCTGCTAAGCTATTACCAGCAGGACAGTGGGGTGGGAGGAGGTATTGTTTCATATTCTCTGTGTATATATAAAGTCTGCTACAGTTTCCACGGTATGCATCTGATGAAGTGAGCTGTAGCTCACGAAAGCTCATGCTCAAATAAATTGGTTAGTCTCTAAGGTGCCACAAGTACTCCTTTTCTTATTACAAACATTGTGATTATTGTCAATGAGTGTGTAGATATTAGATTTTTTTTAGGCATAAGTACTTTTGCACTTCAGTTTTAGTACAAGACTGCAAAACCTGAATTTTAAATGATCTTTCCTTTCCCTAGAACTTAAATGCTGTTTGAATACTCACTGAAAATGCATGTGTATGTACTGTAATAAATGTGACTGGGAAATAGGCTCTTGGGGCCCAATCCTGCAAGCCCTTTTGAACATGAATAGTGTCCCTATTTGTATGAGAAGTCCCACTGACTATTCATGTATGTAAGGGTTTGTAGGACTGGGACTTTAGTTTGTGGGTTCTGTTTCGGAAAACCACCTTGGCGACATAGCAACCTAAATTGCTTTCATTAATGGAGTACTAGACAATGTCTGGTAGACACTGAAAATATGCCATGACACTACTGTCCTTTTAGCAGGTATACAACTATGAGGAAAACCACAGCTAAAGGACAATGTGGAGATTACTGTACTTACAGCACTGGCTATTATTTAAAAGAGCAAAACAGCAAATGGATATTTTAATGCATAATTTATGGAAATATGTCATGTTTTAATGCCCTGAGCCCAATATACCGCTCATATCTGTCTGTCTCTACATTAATCTAATTGAATCCATGTAATGTATTTCTAATTTGTCCTTCACCATAGAAGCTAGGCATTATTAGGTGCTATTCCCAGTTTACCTGGATGTTTACCTATTTTCTACCCAGATGTTTTTCTACTTCTAAAATGCTAAACATTTCTATAATCAAAATTTATTAAGTCCTATGTGCATTTTTCTTTTTCTGTCTCTTGATACTGTCAGTCTTTCAAGATGTAGTTCCTGGTGTTGGTTCATTGCCGCTAATTATTTATATTTTAGCCTTTGTCCCTGATTTCTCAGTCTGAGAGTTTAAAGAGCTATGACATACACCAAGAAGTATCTAATCAAGAGATGAGTAATCAAACAAAAAGCTTTTTGGGAGGAGTGCAAATGGAATGAACCATACTGTCTGGCTAATTATTGTGTTTCCTGTTCTCAACCTTTAAATAGAGTTCTTACAGAAACCAGAATACCTGCCCATAGCTTGCTGGGTTGGTTATTAAATAAGTGGAAGCTTTGTAAAGAGGGAGTGGTGGGAGAAACAGCATAAAATTGATGATGTAGAAAGGAGTTAAAGTATACACTGTATTCATCTCTTCCAGCCTTGGTTGTCAGGGTGCTAAACTCTCTGCAAGTATTTGGGTGGGTGGGTGTGTATGTGGGGGAAACCTAACCATTAATTCCAAAGAGGTGTTATCAGAGGCATCAGGGTTTGGCTGTAAATTTGACTACATTGCTGTGGTGTGCAGAGAAATGAGTGAGGAAATATCTGATTAAAGTGTGCACTGCTGCGGAGGCAACTGAATGTTGCCATAGCAATTGAGATGAAATGTGCAAGAAGTGAGATAATTAAATCTAACCCCTTTAGTAGTTTTGACAGTCAATGCACTGCCAATAGGAAAAGTTATCTACAGTGTTAAAGATAAAACACATTCCTCATGGAAGTAGTCCTTGCTGATATTTTGTTGTTCCCTTTCTAAACACATTGCTTCAGGTAACCTAATCTGAATGTTCTTTTTAATAATCAAATACAGTTTTGACCTTGGTCTGTAACTGCTTAGGACTTTCCTGGCTTATTGTACCATGGGAACTGGCTACACAAAATATCCAAAATAACCCTTCCCCTCCTCCACGTCCCCGCTTACAGTACAGTAAAGCCAGGACTGTCATGTTTTAGCTTACAATTCAATAATATCTAGAACGTGCTGCCCTCTTCAGGAGTTGGCTATTAAAAATACTTGATTTTGTTTATTGATTCAGAAAATGTAATGAGCAAATATGAACTAGAGCATCTGGTGAGTTTCTTGAACTTTGTAATACCACAACCCAAAGACAGAGACTAGTTGCAAAATGAGTGGAAAACTGTGTTGTAAAAAAAGGTCTTATCTTACTGGCACTGGAAGAACAAGATTAAAGCCTGGGGCTGTCACATTCTTTAAGGGGATATGAAAGTATTTGGTCAGTGGAAACAAAAAACTAAGGACACCCCGGAGTTGAGATTTTTAAAAAATAAATTATTCTGTATAATACCAAGTAACTAGAAATTAAGATGTTGCATGGCTTAAAAAGGACTCTCTCATTAGTTTTCAAGCTAAACTACTCATGTGTATGTAATTACCTTTGAAATCAAATGAAGTTATGCCTGGCTCTGTGTGTGTTTGTGTGTGTGTTTGGGGTGGAGGGAATGGTTTCTAAAAATGACCCTAGTCCTGTGTGTTCAGCCACAGGAAGGACAACCATTGCCTAGTCTGAGTGCAGGGATTTTCAAAGTAACAGTGCTGGCCCAGCTGCGGGGAATCAGTGAATTCACCCCAATGCACCAGAGGGATAAACTGAGGGAAAACAAGGCCAAAGTCTAGCAGTCAGAGTCGAGGAGCAAGGATCTCTAAGAAGAGCACTGGGGCTGAGAAGAGAACTGGCGTGGGGAGGGTTTCCTTTTCCTCTTTGAAACTTGGCTGAATTGAGACATGTTGAAGTGTCTTTTACCTTTCCTTTTGCTGAGGGCTACCCTGTTGTCCTTTCCTTCAGTGGCCAAACATAGGGAAAGATTCTGTGCTACATCTCACAGGATTGAATGTTGGTGAGGGTGTGTGGGGTGTTGTCTGTACTGACAGTTCTCAAGACTGTCACAGGGTATCATTCATAAGCAACGCTTTCTTTATTTCAGCAGATCGTAAAGGATGTTTAATATCTTTTAATAGCCATCTAAGGAATATTCTTATTTTAATCTTTACGTAACGTTTTCAGTCCAGTACAACACGTTTCCGTCCTTTGAAAAGGGAAATATTGGGTCTCATCTGCCATTTGTGTCACTCTAGTTTTATGTCAATATCATTCCATTGATCTCAATTTTACACCATTGCAAAACAACATTAATGCACCACTGAGAATAAGGGTTGATTTTTCAAAGGCACAAAGGGAAATTAGATGACCATCTCCCCACTGAAAATGTAACACTAGAACCAAATTTTCCAACCAGTGCACAGACAAATCCTAATGGAAGTGCAATCCCAAATCACGAAGGGATTGTGAAATAGTCTGGTCGTCTGCACATTACAGGCCCCAGAACCTCACCCACCCACCCATTCCTGTAATAGACCCGTGACCTCTGACTACGGGCTTGTCTACACTGGCAATTTACAGCGCTGCAACTTTCTCGCTCAGAGGTGTGAAAAAACACCCCCCTGAGCGCAGCAAGTTTCAGCACTGTAAAGCACCAGTATAGACCGTGCAGCAGCACTGGGAGCTGCGCCCCTCATGGAAGTGGTTTCATTACAGCGCTGGGAGAGCTCTCTCCCAGCACTGCGCTGCAACCACACAAGCCACGTTAAAGCACTACCGCGGCAGCACTTGAGCGTTGCTAGTGTAGACTAGCCCAAAGTTACTCAAATCCTGATTTAAATCCTGATTTAAAGACTTCAAGTTACAGAGAAGTCACCATTTACACTAGTTTAACCCCCCCCCACACACACACACACTTCTCGCAGCCGGAGGAGCTGCTGGCCAGCCCCAGCAGTGGCCCAACCCCCAGGCCACTGGCTCCAATGCTTCTCCGGGCTGTTGGCCTGACCCTTGGGCCAGCCTGAGCTGCCCCAGCCCCTGGCCATGAGCAGAAGCTGAGCCCCCTCCGACTTCAGGGAAGAGGGGAAGTGAGGGTGGGGCCTTCCAGCAGAGCGTGGGCAGGGCCACAGTCTCGGTTAGGGCCACCCATGCCCCCACTGCTCCCCTGGGAAGGCTGTTCCAGAACTTCACTCCTCTGATGGTTAGAAACCTTCGCCTGATTTCAAGCCTAAACTTAATCACCAGTTTATATCGATTTGTTCTTGGGTCCATATTGGTAGTTAACTTAAATAACTCCTCTTCCTTCCTCGTATTTATCCCTCTGATGTATTTATAGAGCACAGTCATGTCTCCCTCAGCCTTCTTTTGGTTAGTCTAAACAAGCCAAGCTCTTGAGTTTTCGCTCATAGGTTAGGTTTTCTTCTTTTTTCAAAACTGGCCCTTACTGCCTAAGTACATGTAATATATGTTCAGATCTGCATTAAAATATTGATCTGTGCTTTCTACAATAGATTTGTTTCATTTTTGTTTTGCTGCTGATGCATTGTGTTTGGCAGTTAAAATCCCTATGGATGAAGGCATAATAACTAATAACATTTTCTTTGCTTTCCAGGGTATTTATGGTACAATGATGAATTTCTTCTTTCTCAGAATGGTAAGCAGAAAGCTATTTCTACCTCTGATAATACTGAATACAAAGAAGAGAAAGTAAATTGTTATAATAAAAGATTGTATATTTATTTTTAAGCAAACTGACAATCTAATAATTATATGGTATATAGAAATATAAATATTTGAATATTCAAATCCTGTTCACTAGCTAGAAAAGTCCGACAGACTATTGCATTTATTTCTAAAGACACATAAGAATTTACCATATCTTTTGGAAATGCTTCTGAACCTTGGGGTGTTCACCACTGAGGTTTTCTGCATAATTTATTGTAATATATACATACCAACACACATAAATATAGTTTACATCCTATCAGGAGAGAGAGCAAGTGTATCTCTCCTTTACCCTGAGGAAAGGTGAGTCCTATACAGTGTTTCACTGTGCTGAATTGTATAAAAATTGATCCTTATTCATGTTTCACTAGGGCTTTGCCACATCTGTGAATTTAAAATTGTATGTTTTCCAAAAGCAGACATCACTTCTTCTGAGAGAGCTGCCTGCTATCATGTTGTTTAAAAAAGATGGTTTCAGTTGTCATTCTCTGTTTTTTATGACTGAAAAAGGCAATATTTATTTTACCCCTTGATCACAACGTCTTTACAAAATAAAAAGAAAAATTCATCATATTGTACATGTAAAGGTCATCCTAAAATAACACTTCTGAGCAAACTATACTGAATCCTATGAGTGTGCTGCTAGGAGAGACATTTCCAACAGTTCTTTGGGCATTCCCTTTATAAAGGAATTTCTTTCCACTCCATAAAAATGTAGTTTGAAATCAACATAAAACCATCAAGAAGTGGAACTACTGTTAAAATGGGAAGAAATATTACTGGAAAAAATATCCCCTCCGAGCACAAATTCAAACTTCAAATGTGACTGCTTCTTAGCATTATAGCTGAAATACATCCGATCTAATCCCAGAAGGAACTCAAAATCTGCTTTTAAAAGGATATTATTCAAAAAATTTAATGCATAAGAGCATAAAAAAATGAAGGATTAAAATGAGTGCCCGCCCAGTTTTCTGTTGTCTTTGAAACAAAGCAGAAGGGTTCCAGAATTCAAGAAAACCCACAGCAAGACACAAGTTTAAAATGAACTTTAAAAAAATGATGATAGGGTTTCCAATTCACAAAGCAAGGGACTTGTTCTTTGGAACTTTTTTCTCCTCTTAGAAAGTAAAGCCTGCAGGTGAAGCTGTTTTGAACACACTTGTTTTTAACCAGTAGATCAAATCACTTGATAATAACGATGAGGTTCTCTGCTTTGTTGATAGTTTTACTTGCTTGCTAATAGTGGGTGTCTCAGCAGTATCATTGTCAAGGATATGTTTTGGGGACTGTGATTAAAGGGAAAAAATAATCATGTAGAACTAACAAATAAAAAAGAGCAGTTCCAAGCAGACATGAGAACCACATTTAACCTCCTAAATCCACAAACAAAAAATGCTCAAAAGAACTGAAGAGTAATTTTTAATCAAAAAGATTAACTATGTGACAGTTAAGTATGTTTGGGATTAAACCATCAAAGAACCTGTCTCTTTTCTGTATATTTGCCTATTAGCAGTAGGTACTTGGCACAAGGATCATATGTAGGCTGAAGCCATAGACCCTTGCACTACATATAAGCTTTTCAACAGTGTTCCTTAAGCAATAATATTGTCAAAGGTAAGTGTTTACCAACAGAGTTTGTCCATGTGTTTACCAACAGATTTTGTCCACTTAAAACAGTTTTAGCCTGAGGCTGAATATGCTGGGAAAGTGGCGGAAGAGAAACGTTTAATTTAGGCTGAAAACAAATCTATTCAGTTGGCATCGTGATTGGGGTCAATATAGCTATAAGTTTGCAGGTTAAGTAAAATTATTATTACTGGTTGTGTGCCAACAGTGCGCTTTGCACTATGTAGAACAAAGAAGGGACAAGAGTTCTGCCCTCAAGGGTCATATGTCTTATACAAACAAACAAAATGATACATGCAGTGCACGGGGTGATCAGACACTGGTGCAGAATACCAAGATAACACTTTTGGGAGGAATAGGTTTTATAGTTATAACCATATACCCGTCCCCAAATATGACATTTTGCCTTTGGCTCCCAGGTACAGAATTATAATGCCGGTTATGGATTACCAGTATGTAACATTAATTCAAACATAAATGTATTCCCATGTTAGGTATCTATTGCACAAAGAAATTGAAATTGAATTTGGCAGTTAGTATTTCCTTCAGTGTGGCTGGACATTTTAGCCTTTAAAAGGGTGCTAAATGTCAGATATTCAAAGAAAATAAAATATTGAATATAATTAATCTGCACTTTAACAAAATGCACTTTCCTTGTCATCCCCAACTCTAGCTGTGCTTAATGAATAAAAATTAAATGCACATAACTATGAATAGTCACAGCATCCTGTTTTCAATAAAAAAGGCTTTTTCTCTGTTAATAAATTGTTACCTTAAATTAATGCTAAATATATAAAATTGTAGCATTTCATTAAATATATAACCATTTTGTTTTTAAATAGGGTTTTTTAAATTCCACAAATGTTTTTAATCTGTGAAAAATTGCATGTTTTTTTACATCAAGTGAGAATATGAAAGAACTGCTAACAAAGAAGAAGGCTACTGCTGCTATGATTTCTTGAATAAGACAAAAAATTGGTTCTCACTTTTCTCTCAATTAAAACTCCATGCAATTATTTGTGTAGATTATAGACCTCTTTTGGGATTCTGGTTTCATACAACTTTTTGGTTCATTTCACATGAATAATATTAATCTTAATTAGCAAAAACAATTGATGGGCTTTTCTCTTTTTTTTATCAGAGGGTTCACTCTGTGTACTGATTATCATCACTAGATTATCCTGATAAATGAAAACTTCTTGTCTTTTTAAACAGTAAGCTGAATATGTTATCTATCCTCAGGCATGTAGCTTTTTTGTTAGACATCATCTTGTTGAGCTGGAGTGGCTTTCTTGACGAGTAGATGACCCCTTTTTTGTCTGGAACCCTAACATTGCTGGGCATTATGTCAATTTAGATTCTAACTATTTATGACCATGCATTCAAAGTTCAACTATGCAAATCACAACTATTAAACAAAAAGACATAGCAGATTTGTTTTTTAAATGTATTACATAGCTCACAAGGTCAACACATTTGTTTTCTCCATTTTAAAATATAGTTTTGTCAGTAATGATCAGTAATGATTGAAGAGATCATCACCTTTTAACATTTTATTTAGACTAAGTCAGATAGAACATAAACATCTTTTCCCTCCTATGCTAGAAAAATAATCATATGGAGTACAGCAAAAAGAAAGAGATTTGGGCTGAAGTGAGAGAGAGAGCTGCCTGTGAAACGCCTAGATTCACTGTATAGTACTAATATATAGTCTTTAAGGGGTGCAGTTCCACCATTATAGGGAAGTATACATGAATGCCAGGCCCAAATCTATCCCCAGCCTATAGGCAGGACAGCACCACAACCCCTCAGTGGTTGCTATTTCAGTTTTTAGGCTACAGAAGGGCCCAGAAAAGCCCCTCTCCAAGAGTTTATGTGGAGCTACATTAATTTAGTAGGCATAATCACATAGTTCAGAATTATTGTCCTGACCCAACCCCAGCCACTACCATCTCTATAGTGGACCCCAGCTCTACCGCATCTAAGAATCTGCCTATACGCAGTGCAGTGAAATAGTGGCCATTCTCATATGATGTGAGCAATCTACAGCTTCTATGCCCTGAGTGCATTCTGTTCTATTCAGCTTAGGTTCCATACCACATCCATCCCTCATAATATCTGAACAGCACCCTAAATGAAAATGTAAGCATTGTGCAATTGTGAAGGGAGGTAAAAGTACAGAAGCTCTTTGGGGTAGGGCCTGCCACTTACTATGTGTTTGCAGAGTGACCAGCACAGACTAGGATTTCTATGCACTACTATAAATAGTAATAGGACACAGTAGTAGTCTTCTCCTCACGTAGAGCTTGTTTACTGTTGTCCAAATTCTTCAAATAAAAGTACGACAAAACTTATTTCAAGAACTGACAGAGAAATATACTACATAGCAAAACAGAAACCTACAGAATATCTGAATCTGTTTAGATACAAGCAAAAATTAATACTAATAAATACAATTTCCATGGCTTAACCAAAAGGAGATTTGACTCTAAAACTATGACTGTGAACAATTTATCTACAATTTATCACTCTTCTACTGACCATAATTAATTATAATTAAAACTTGCCTTTTTAAGTATTAAATATACAGTGTTACTGTGTTTGCCCTTAAATCATATAATTCCTTCTCCTAGTACACTGAACTGCTGCAGCAGTTCTCTTCTCATCCTATGTACGTGTGTGGTAAAAAGCAGATGTGTTTATTTGAGTTGTGGATGTTGCATGTTTATCATAGAAATATAATAGATAGATTAGAGTTTATGAGGAACATTTTTCATTCAGAAAATCTTGATAACATAACATAAATGATGCTAATGAGACTTGGGCAGTGTATATAATACCAAGACACAGAAGACAAGGATATTTTTCTTGTTAAATATACATTATTTGGTACTTTTTGAAAATGCAGAAATATATGCTATCTACTTCGTAACCCATCATGTGTTTAAACTGTTTTAGCTTTTTTCTCGGTAGCACTGAAAATTTGTAAGAATTAGTTTATAGTGGATAAGGTACTGAAGAAGCATTTGAGGGAAAGTTCATCTAAGTAGACAGCAACCACAAAAATAACATTCACGTATTAACAAAGGATCAAGGGCTCCATTCAGCCCCACCAGAAGCAGGTTCCATGGATTTCATTGGGTGTTGCATCCACTTATTGCAGGACTGAATTTGTTCCCATACAAAAAACAAACACTGAAATGGAAAATGGCTCACTGCACAGGACATTTGTTAGGGAAAGAGACAAAAAAGAACACAGAGAAACCATAGTTGTATTATCTCACTAGCCATAAAAGACAGAGA